TATGGTAACATTCAAGTTGTGCTAAAATGATCTATTTTATAAGAATAATTTTAAAAAAATTTATTTATTATATTTAATTAATGTGTTGATTATAACGATAAAAGTTTTGTATTTTATGAGTTGAATATTATAAAGGTCTTGCCATCTTATCTAAGGTCGTAGGTAAATAGTAAAAATCCCTCCTAAATAGCGCTCACTGTATAAAAGGTAGAAAGCCCATATTTTTTTATTTTGTAGTTTAATGATGTTGCTATCAATAATACAATTAGTTTTATTCTATATAAAAATAAAATTTTATCGTAAAAGAGCAAATCACCTGCCGTATAGCTCCGGTCTCCCCTACATATATATGGTGAATTCCATATCAAATCAACCAAGGTTTCAACCCGACCCCCTTCAATTTTTCCTAAATTTTGTATACTGGTAGTACATACTATAACTAAGAAAAAAATGAAATTTTACCTTCCAACACTGTTTACCCGCTAAGATATGGCCGTTTAAAGCACGGAGTACATTTTTGACAAAATGCACCTCATTTATTTTCAAATATCTCGAGAAGTAATAAAGTTAGAAAAATAATTTAAATTTTATTTTGTAGCTTAATAAAAGTTCTTTAAAATGACATAAAAATAAATATGATGGACATTTTATTAATATCGAAAACCGGATGTGTAAAACCGGAAATGGCCATAGAAAAAAAAGGTATTTTTTTTAAAAAAAATTTTTTGTAGATAGATATCACATTGCTTTATATTTGTACAAAATCCTAGACTGGGATCAACATGGGTTTAGGAGTTATTACTCTTTATATGACTAAAATTGAACAAATTTAACATTTATATCATCATATTTTAATTTAATGAATAGTTATGAAATAATGCTAATTAAAATTATGTCTAAATGACAGGCCCTTACTTTTTTTTATCTTTATCAAAATTTTTGAGAAGTGGCTGGAATAATAAGCTTTGTTTAACACTTTAGTTAAATTTTGTCTCAAAGTTACTTGACAAAATAATTCTAAACATATTTATAACTTTATTTTCCTCAAATTGCATTACATATAATACAATCAAAAATTTATAATTAAAATATATCATATATTATAATCATCCAAGGAATTTTAATAAATTATGACTTTTGTTTTCGTCTAGGGGAATAAAAGCTTGGAATTTTGTGTTAGAAATTCTTTTGCTCTCAAAAATCTCCTTTCAAGATGACTTTCTATGTTCATATATTCATTATTGCTCACAATTATATAATTTACCCCATAGATATTATTTTTTTCATAGTTAAATAAATCTATTGTTGTCAATATGTGATGTTCATATGGACGTTGCAAGCTTGCTCTAACTGTTTAGTAACGGCCCCAAAAATGTCGCATGGACTTTTACCTTGTGCGGTTTCAAAAAATGTCACTCAGCCTTTATCCCAAAATCATTTTTATGATTGTAGAGATTAATTAAATCTATTATTTTTATATTGGTTATTGCTCCATCAGAAAAATAATAAATTTTAGCCACTCTATTAAATCTTTCCTTTAAGAATACGATCAATTTTTAAAATAAATAAAATGCACATGCGTTGTGCTTTAAACAATCTGATATAACCACTAAATTTACATGTTTTATTATGTTGTTCTCACGGTAATAAATTATAAAAGAGTTGATAGTGGCTTGATTATTGGTCTGATTAAATCCTTGTGCATGGTTCTGCACTATAAATGCATAGTTTTCTGAAAAGTCTGCATTAACTAAGAATTCGCCAACATTTAAATTAAATTTTAAAAAGTTTCGAATTAATGATTATCGTGAAGCTATAAACAAATGAGGAATTAAATTTTAATTTTTTAAATAATCCACAAATTCGTCAGCGGATTTTGTCAGTGTTTCGAGGGTAGTTCGATCAACTGCTATCCATTGTTTGAATGTTTTATAATCTATAGAATTCTCGTCAAATAATATATTAAGCCTTTCTTTTAATTTTGAATATATGGGGGAAAATTTATTATGGAATTTTAATTTTGGTATATTATTTTATGCTAAATAAAATATTTTAAATTATTTTGTCAAGTAATTTTAATTTCGAGATAAAATTTAACTAAAGTTTTAAACAACTCATTATCCCAGCCACCTCTCAAAATTTTTATATAAAGATAAAAAAAAGTAAGGGCCTATCATTTAGACATAATTTTTAAATTAACATTATTTATAACTATTCATTAAATTAAAATATGATATATTAATGTTAAATTTGTTCAATTTTAGCCATATAAAGAGTGATAACTCCTAAACCCATGTTCATCCTAGTCTAGGATTTTGTACAAATATAAAGCAGTGTGATTCTATCTACAAAAAAAATTTTTTTAAAAAAATTCCTTTTTTTCCTATGGCCATAACCGGTTTTACACATCCGGTTTTCGATATTAATCAAATGTCTATCATATTTATTTTTATGTCATTTTAAAGAACTTTTATTAAGCTACAAAATAAAATTTAAATTATTTTTCTAACTTAATTATTTCTCGAGATATTTGAAAATAAATGAGGTGCATTTTGTCAAAAATCTACCATTTTTCCGCGCTTTAAACGGCCATATCTTAGCGGGTAAACAGTGTTGGAAGGTAAAATTTCATTTTTTTCTTAGTTATAGTATATGCTACCAGTATACAAAATTTAAAAATTGAAGGGGGTCGGGTTGAAAAGCGACCTTTTTTTGTTGATTTGATATGGAATTCACCATATATAAATTCGATATGAAATTTGTTAGTCAAATGCTGCATTTATTATATATTTGTTATTGTATTCTTAACCTACAGTGAACAAAATGTTATGAAATGATATATATATCAATAATCATTTTTTGTGAATCAATGCTTATTTTTGACATACATTTACAACTATAAACGGAACAATATTTTGAATAGATGTCAATTAATATTGTAAATTAGCGCAAGTGGACCGCAGGCCCGCAAAGGGTTATCTGGTGGTCTCTCCCTTAAGTTTGAGACTCTTAATATGCAGACCCCACAGGACCCTTTGCTTCCCAATAGGCCTGTCTCATATGGTGGCCCTAGGATTCGCTATATATCTTAAAAAATTGTTTATAATTTTTTTGTGTGTGAATAGGGATGAACAATATATTTAGAAAAATTTATAGATGGGGAATGGTATCCCCCTCCCCCCAATCCATTGACTATCCCTATGGCTTTTCTTTTTAATGTATATTTTATCTTTAATATTAGTATGAAATATATTTGAAAGAATTTTATGAGGAAACAGCATTTGAAGACCTAATCATATTTATTTACAAAATAACTTTACAAATAATATGAACATTGATTGTAGAATAATTCTAATTTTTTTATTCTTAAATTACAAATGGAATATTTTGAATAGGCTTATGACAAATCAAGCGAATGCTTTCCAATAAGTATTCATTGCTATTTAATCCACAGGATGGATTAAAAAGTATTGTGGTGGGCAGTGGCGCGCATATCTAGGTTTATACTCGGTAGGGGGGGGGGCGTCAATTTTTTCTAAATAGGAATTATATTACTAAGTTCAGTATTCATAATTTTGAGATAATTAATTTTAATAAATATTTTTTTAATTGAATTGATTTTAGAAATTCAAATTATATGTAGAAAAAGGGTATTACAAAATAAAATTGCTAAATACATTTATTTTGTTCTTTCTTATTGCTTATTTACTTTTGATTTGAAATTTTAAGGTTTAGATAACATATTTAATACCATTATAAATAGAAAGAGTGAGGCAATGCGGCATTGGCGGTGCTTAAAACGCTATTATTCAACTAGGAAATAAATCTATTATAAATGTATTTATAATTTAAGTATGCAAAAGTTTTTATTTTCTAATAATATAAATTATTTTCTTCATCTTTTATAACTTTTCAAAGGTAGCAAAATTATAAGATTTAAAAAAAAATTTCAAGTTGCTTATGCCGATAGAAACTCTTTTAAAAACTGGTGTAAAGTTACTATTGAAGATTAACTATGGCAATTATATGTAAATAAGTAAGTAGTTTCTTTTACATATAAAAAGTAATGAGTTACAGATAGTTACTTTATAAATTTTTTGTATGATCAAAAAAATAATAATACCATTTATAAATTTTAATTAAAGGTATTTAAATTATAATTTATTAAAACTATTTATAAAATAACATATATAAAAACTATATTAGAATAAAACTAAAATTTAAAAAAATTATATTTATTTAGTTTCAATAATTGTGCTACCAAAAAGAAAGGCCATAAGAATATTATCTCTTGTGTATAAAAATTCTTTTTCACTGGTAAAAAGTTTAATTTTGCCACCTATATTTTTTAAAAAAAATTTTTATTAAAGAAAGAGCAGTTAGTGGATGTGACTATAAATAAAATTTAATTTAAATAATTGCATTTAATAATTCTTTATTTGCACCGAAAAAATATATAAAACAATATAATTATTTATCACAAATGGGCTAAATAAATTTTTACTCAATTTTATCAAAAATAGATTTCTTTAAGTTACAAATTTTTCTATAAATATAGGTTTTTCTAGAGTACACAAAAAGTACTTGATGTAAATGAGATACTAAGGCTTATAGAAAATTATTAGATTGATTAGAAATATATGAATAAAAAAATTTTTAACAAAAAAATTTTAATTATTTGTAAATGTTAGAAAATCATAAATTTTAGCAAAATATAGGTAATTATTTGTAAAATTAAAGTCATTGTAATCAAATGTTATTTTATCTGGCATTTGATTGATTTTTTGATAGTGATCTTTCTGTTTACAATTTCCTAAAAGCAAATTAATAAATTTAAAAAGGTAAGAGTATGCATTTAGAAGGAGGAAATAATCAGGCACTTGTAGGCAAAAATATGATTACCAAAAAATACTTGTTAATAAAAGAAATATTATGCATGAAAGAATCTAAATTTTTTCATATTTTTTATTTTAAATATATAAAATCCAAAATGTTTATTTAATATTTTGGTGAAATAGTAAAAACAATTTAAATAAATTTATTATATTATGTGAATCCATTCTTTTCATTTGGCCCTAATATAATGTTTATACAAAGATATTAATGTTTTTTTCATAAAGATATTCTTTGTTTAATTAAAAGAATTTTAGATATTGATTATAATATCCAAATTTTACAAAATCAATAAAGTTTACTAAATCATTGAATCAACTTTATGTTTTAATTTCCAGAACATACCTATTAAATGAGAAAAATTATTCAAAAATATATAAAAAAAATTTAAAAATGATGTTGAATAGCAGTGAGGTAAATAATAGTATCTTTTTTACAAATATATATTATAATCACAATGTTATTAACAAAACTTTAAATTATATAAATATGAATAATAAATGGAAACAAAATATAACAAATTTTCTTGGAGATAATGATATTTAAAAAAATATATATTTAACGAATTATCAACTTAATATTCATTAATGTGAAGATGGAATAAGTATCATTCGGGAATTTCTATCAAATAAAACTGGGATCAATTTATATATAAAAAAGATGAGTTATAATTAAATAGCTTTTCATAGTTCATCCCTATCTCTTCTTAAAATGGTGTATCTTGTATATGAAGGTTGAAGTTTGTTAAATATTGACTCAGGTATAGATTTCTTCTGTAATTTTTTTTGATGATCATGTGGTACTTGGTATGCTGGTAATTTGTCAGCTTGATTATTATAATTGCCAATTTGGTTTGAGTTGATATCAGGTTCAGGAGTTCCAAAATCAAATCCTTGAAACTGAAATTGAATAACATTTTGTTTAAAAATTTCTTCAGACTTTGCATGAAAATCCCTGTGCAATTTTTTAGAAAACAAATCATTCACAAATGTGAGTAAAAGATTATGAGAACTATGATTGAAACTGGGATCTAAATCTGAAAATTTGTGAGGAAATGGAAACATATGAGCAAATGAATCAATAGCTATTACAGGCAAATCATTTTCAGCTTTACCTAAATGGTATAAAGGATGTTTAAAAGATTCAAAATTTGCATATACAGGTTGAATCTGATCTCTCACATCAAATAGTACAGATTCAACTATTTTTTTAAATATAGGTAATGGTGAAAGATCATTGTTTTTATAAAATATTATCAATAATGGTAACCCCTTTTCAGTTATCTCTTCGGCATTTTCCCTTGTAATTTCTCTCACAAAAGGTGTGCATTTAGTAAATATCCAATGACTTAATTTGTCTAAATCTTCAATAGCACCAGAATATGTTTCAGTTTCATTTACATGAGCTGGTTTGAAGACTGATTTACTGGGCAAACCACGAATAATATCTTGAAATTCTGGTCCAACTGCAACATATATATTGCAATCTTCTTTCATTAAAAATCCAGTCATTTGAAGTGTTTTATAAAAAATAGATGGTGGAGGAAAATTAAAGAATGTAATGACAGATGATTTATCTAAAGGAATTGAATTTAATTGAGATATTGTGCTTAAATTTTGAACTCTATAATCTATTTGTTCATTTATGTATTGAGCAATAGCATTTACGGATCTTTGACCTCTATATTCACTTCTAGGTGATCCTAAACGATATATTTTTAGAGAAGGGTACTTGGAAACATTTGAAACAGAACATGTAGCCATATTTTTGTCACAATCTATTTTTGCAAATATAACTTTGGCATCAGGATTTTTTTTCTTGACTTCAACCCAAGCTTCTTCAAATATAGGATTTAACATTTTACTATATGGACACCATTCAGCATGATAATTAATAAAAACAAGGTCATATGATTTAATAATATCTTTAAATATAGCATCATTCAATTCTAATGGACCTTCAGGTAAAAGAGCATTTGAGTTTGAGTAAAATTCTGTGGGCCAATGTAATTCTCCCGGTGTGATATCGCTTACTTTTACATCATGTTTTTCAATAAGTATATTTCTGTCATGTATGTTATTATTTAAAATATCTTCTTCAAACGTGGGATTTATAATAAATATAAAAATTACAAAATAAGCTCTACACATCATATGTTAATTTTTTTGGAAATTATCATAAATTAATCCAGAAGTTTAAATTATAAATATCGAATTTTTTTTATCAATATTGCATCCTTCTTTTAATTGTAAGGGTTTTTTATTTATTAATATAAAAAATAATATGTAAACTATTTAAAATAATATAAAATTTATATTAGATTTAAAAATCATATAAACAATGAATAAAGAAAGAAGGTGATCACTAACTTATAGGCAAAACTTTCTAATCGCAATTATAATTATAAATAATAATAAAAACTGTATTTAAAAATTTTAAGATAAAAAATATAGAGTCGAACAACTATTTCTTTTCCGCTAGCAATCACCTAGCTAGAAACTTTCCTTAGGTGTGGGGGGGGGGGGAGATTCGTACCTCTAAAAGGCTGGGGGGGGAGGTGTTTCAGCCTTCGCTCGGTTTATCTAAAAAATTATGTTACTTTCTACCTTTTTAAAAATTATTTTAGCAATATTATTGTTCATTTAAATAAAAATTATACAAAATTTGACGTTTCATAATATTTACTATAGACTAATATTTCAATTTAAACCATTTTAAAAGTTTAATAACTAAGAAAAAAATACGGCAAATATGATTTCCCTTGATGCTGGGGATATATGTGGTATACTATGCTAAAGTAAATATATATATGCTGAGTTGAGAAAGTCCTCTGGAAAAAGGAACTAGATTCAGATTCTTTATAAAATAATGAATCTTAGATCAGATACTAGTATCTTTTTTAAAATATTAAATATATACAAGATAGAAGATACTTGTATCTTTAGCTATAGTATCTTAAATACAAGATACTTTAATTTAAAATTATTATAAAATACAGTTTATATTATCTATTTGTGAAGAACGACGCTTATAATAAGAATAAATATTTATAATAATTAATGAAATATTTTATAATGAGTTAATTATAATAATCAGGCATATTAATATTAGTATTAGCCCATTCTTAGATAGGGAGTGGAGACTAGTATATTTAATGGGAGTTGAAATATTAATTTGCAAAAGAGTATTTAAAATAGATTCATTATTTTATAAAATAATCAAATTTTTCAAATAATTTATCATTAGACCTTTGCCCTAGTGTTGTTAAATAGTCGAGTTTTTACGACTTTGAACTCAAGTCGGAGTCGCAAAACTCATTTCAAATTGAGCGGCTCAATGAGCCGCATGAGTCGACTCGATGAGTCGGCTTCAGAGTCGGCTAGTGTTGTTAAATAGTCGAGTTTTTACTTTGAACTCAAGTTGGAGTCGCAAAACTCATTTCAAATTGAGCGGCTCAATGAGCCGCATGAGTTGACTCGATGAGTCGGCTTCAGAGTCGGCTTGATGAGTCGGCTTCAGAGTCGGAAAAAATTTATTTTGAATCCGCCTGCTAATATTATTTACTCCACGATAAAATATTTAAAAAATTTAACCACTATGGTTCGAGAATTTAAATATTTTAAAATTCAAAATGACTTATGTATAGTGTTATTTTGCTTAGTCATAAAATTTACAACCAAATTATGGGCTCAGAGCATTAAAATCTAACAATCCCTGGTCTCCCCTATAATATATTTTAAAAAAATCATACCCAGGTCTAAATATTTTTTTTAAAAAAATCTTTTTTTATATATATTCTAAATAATTGTATAGGTAGTCTTGTTAAACGGCTCGATTTGAGCCAATTTAAAAACGGCTAACTCAACATTATATCCAGAAAGCTATTATGTAAGCTTTAAGATTGTGGTCATAGATGGCACAAAAGTTTAGACATCTATCAGCGAAATGTCGGCGTTTAGATAATATTAATAATAACATGGTCATATTTATAAAATAATACATTTCGAATTTAATAATATTTAAATTTTCGAAACATAGGGGTTAAATTTTTTTAATATATTTATCGTGGAGTAAATAATAATAGCATGCCGATTCAAAATAAACCTTAAACGACTCTGAAGCCGACTCATCTCATCGAGCCGACTCATGCGGCTCATTGAGCCGCTCAAATTGAAATGAGTTTTGCGACTCAAAACTTGACTAGATTTTAAACTAAGTCGACTCGACTAGCCAATTAACAACACTACTTTGCCCTTTCAGCGTACTTAACATCGTGCCAAAACTAAAACTTTTCAATTGGAGCTAAGGTATTTAGTATTATATTTTAAAAAAAATTTCCTATGGAAGGATAATAATTAAGCATTTATAATGTATTGACTTTCTTTAATATAATTTAAAACCTCCAGTTCAATGTTATTTGTAAACTCAGCAACATTTGTTCCACCTAAAGATAAATAATCATCATTTTCTTAATTAGATAGTTCCTAAAATATGAATGTGATAGTGATGACAAAAAAGCCTCATTATATTCATATCATAGGAAAATATTTTCTTAAAATCTTTTGCCCATACCATCTTGGGCAGCTTTTAATAAAGGTATACAATATTGTAAACTTAAATTTTTAAGAATAACTATGTCCCTTTTAAGCATATATAAATAATCCCCTTAATATGTTTAACAAAATTTGTGTTGAACCTTTTATCATTTTTGTGTTTATACAGGTTTTACATTCAACCTGTACATTGTCTTTTTTAACTTTTATTTTAAAAAAATTTTATTCTAAAATTTTAAGATTGGGATTTGATTCAAGGGTAACTTATTTCCATAATTTAATATCACTATCTTCTTCTTCACTATCATAAGTGTTAATCCCAATGACATTAATACTATAGACTGCCGATCGTAATGCTAAAATCAAATTTGAAGTGGCAAAAATTGAAGTGACTGGTGGCCATTTTGTGTTTGTATCTTTTACGAAAGAAGCATATAATAATTTCATAAATTTCAGGTATATTTTTATTATGTTTATATTTATAATATATATATACATTCTAATTAAAGACCAATTTATTATTTACCTTATATATTATAGCAGAGTTGTACAAAAGATCTTCTTTGAAGATTTTTGAGCAAGATCTTCTTTGAAGATTTTTGAGCAAGATCTTCTTTGAAGATTTTTGAGCAAGATCTTCTTTGAAGATTTTTGAGCAAGATCTTTGAAGATCGTAAAATTTGAAGATCTTTTATTTATAAAAAAATTTGAGCAACGATCTTCAAAGATCTCGTAAAATTTGAAGATCTTTTATTTTTTAAAAATTTTGTGTAACGATCTTCAAAGATCTTCATGATATTAATTTTTTTTACCCCTTTATTAAAAGCCCAGATGTCTTTCAATATTATTAATATATTATACCTCTCCTCCTGCCTTGATGAAAGAAAAAAATATTATTTATTTTTTAAGCATGTTAAATTAAAATATAAATTCAATAAAGATGCACCGACAATTTTCATAATCGTATTTTATAAATATGAATAAAATTGAAAAACATCTGGGCTTTTAATAAAGGGGTAAAAAAAATAAATATCATGAAGATCTTTGAAGATCGTTACACAAAATTTTTAAAAAATAAAAGATCTGATCTTTGAAGATCGTTGCTCAAATTTTTTTATAAATAAAAGATCTCCAAATTTTACGATCTTTGAAGATCTTTTTATTTTGAGCAAATGTACAACTCTGTATTATAGTATATATGAATCAAATATAGGTCACTACTGAATATTTTACTTGAAATATTTCTGCTCTTTATTAACATTAACATTTGCAATTCATTATTTAATAATGAATATCTTTTATAAGAATTCAATTTAATATTTTTTAATTACTAAAAGATTTAAAATGGTAGTATATTGCTGAGGAAGCAAAATTTCCTTTCATAAGTATGATATCTCAAATTAATTATTCTATTGTAAAAATTATTTATGGCAGATTTCCTATGTAAGATAAAATATTATTACAAAAGTGGACCCATGCTGTGAAGAGAGAGAACTTCAATGTAACAAAATATAGTAAATTATGTTCAAAGCATTTTACACCAGATTCATTTATTCCATCTGTTACAAATCATGTTCAATTAAGAGAGGGAGCAATACCATCAATTTTTAATTTTCCAAAGCATCTTCTAAAAGTAACAAAATAATGAATAATAAATTATAACATGCAGGTTTCCTAGAAGCCAGATTAATTCAAAAATACATGAATATTTTTTTTATAGAAATCAATTCTAGATTTCTTTTGTATTTTTATAATTTATGTCTTATGTCTTTTATGTTTTATTTTTGCTTATAATTATGTTATTCCTTAATAAATATAAACTATCCATTTCTAAATATATTTCTTTATTTAAATTTAATTCACTAAAGTATAAAAATCAATAATGTAAATATATATCATGAAAAATACAAATAATATATATTATGTTATATTTACATCAAATAAAATAATTGTATTATTATAATTAATATGTATCGCGAAAAGAAAATAATAATCTTATAAATCAATAATAAATACAAATAATATATATATGTTATATTTATGTCTAATAAAATTAATTTATTATAACCAATAAAGTCATTAGAAATTTTCAGATAATTTGTTCTTCACCTATAAATATTTAAGTTAAATAACATATTTTTATATTACTTGGTTTATTGCCCTTGAAAAAGTACAGCCTTGTTTAGTTTTTGCCTGATATTTAATTGTAATTTTTGATTTACGTTATTACCAAAATGATGCATTCTTATGTGCAGGTATCTGAAAATAAATTTTAAAATCAAGTAAATATTATATATACCTTTTTATTATAAGTCTTATTATAATTTGATAATGACTTAACCCTGCCTCTTGATCAAACACAGAGTTGTACAAAAAATCTTCTTTGAAGATTTTTGAGCGAGATCTAGCTCAAAAATTTGAGCAAGATCTTTGAAGATCGTAAAATTTGAAGATCTTTTATTTTTTAAAAATTTTGTGTAACGATCTTCAAAGATCTTCATGATATTTATTTTTTACCCTTTTATTAAAAGCCCAGATGTTTTTCAATTTTCATCAAGGCAGGAGGAGAGGTATAAAACATTAAAGAAATATTATATTAATAAAATTGAAAAACATCTGGGCTTTTAATAAAGGGGTAAAAAAATAAATATCATGAAG